CAATTGAAAATATTTTTCAAAGAATGGACTATTATGCATTTATATTGGGTTATTTTGGCTATTGAGTTATCATATTGTTTAATTATGAGATTATCGTATTTTACGGAAGTATTGAGGTATTTTTGATATTTGAAGGTTGCGTTTATTTTGGGTTGACTTATTGCTATTTTGCCAATTTCTACCTATACTTCGAAAATGTGAAATTTGGGATTTGTGTTATGGACACTAGTGATGTCCAGTTGTCTATGGATATGTGTTGGGTACTTGGGATTACTGAAAAGTGGATGTGGAATGTGAGTTGTGGTTTATGTCAATTTGGAGTGCTATTAGCACCACCCTATGTACCTCCCCTGCACTTGGTTACTTGGAAACTCTATACTAGGATTCATCGGAACCCAAGCACCCTTGACAAGTTGTTTCATAGACCCTTAGCAGGGTAGTCTGCGAGCGTAGGACTTGTATTTAGCCGCACATGCAATGCGATTCCGGTGTGTGTGCTAATTAGCCTAGTCCCCCTGTTGGACGGCTCAACCCTAGTCACAAGATGATGCGATGCCGTCCCGTGGTCTACTCAAATAATCCCCCGGTTGGATTGATTTCTTAGGTACAAGTTTGGTAGTGGTCTTACCTATAGGTAAACCTATATATATATATATATATATATATACACACTATTATAACTTTATGTGAGAGTGGTCATGTTAGGAGAGGAAGGTTTGGTTGGGTTGTTGTTACTATACTATATCGGGATATTGGGATTACTTGGTTTTTAAAGAATTATGTATAAATTGGTTTTGAATGCATGTTTTGGTATCGTTTTCTAAAATGGTGGGGCTAGTACGTTGATTATAACTGTGTTGGACTTTGTTTTTGTCCACTCATAATTTTTCTATTTTGTGCCCCCCAGGCAGTAGCTTGATTTGAGCCAAGCAACCAAGCCAAGACTTGTACTTCCATGCCTCGAAGCCTCGAACTATTGTAGGGCACTTTGTTTTGTACATTTTTTTTTCCCTTTGAACTTTATTTCGGTTGTAAACTGAAATTTTCTTAGATTGCTCTATTTTCGCCCATGGATGGTTGGCTTTAAAGTCGGAGGCCTATTCTGTATACTGTATGCCTTTGCATTGTGTGTGCTGCCAGTTGGTGTACTATTTCTATTGTTTTTGGCAGGTGAAAATTTCTTTGGTAAAGTCATTTTTTAAGGGTGATTTTGCTGAAATTTCAGTAGAAGTCTCAACCCCCTTTTTCCTTTGTTTCTGAGAAGGGGATGTTTTTAGTAAATGGGCTCGGCATCAGTAAGATGTCAGAACAACCACGGTGTCCGTCACAAGTTTTGAGGAGGAATCCGAGTAGGATCCCGTCAATCAATATTCAACACTTCATATTTAGTGATAAATGGAATTGCCTATTTCTATTTTGGCAAATCACTTAACTTGTCAACATTCATGAAACGAGATTTAATTTAATCATAGCCCTTGATGATTGTAGTAGCTACTAATAAACCAAATGTATCATCGATTTGTGATCCCGCAATTCTCGTGTGCATGCACATGCATAATTTATAAGCATCTCATTGCTTTTGGGTACCAATGCCTCTTCAAGGGCTTATGTTGTCACTTATGAGACCAACATCGCTTTTAAGATGAATTATTTAGAAATATGTAGATCATAACCTCCTATAGAGTGTTAATTTTCGACAGGGCTTGAATTTTTCAAATAATCTCTACTTATGGGGAGTTAAATCTTTAGAACCTATAAATCTGTCATGCTTCAGGCATGCAACAGATTGGTTATTGATAGTCACTTATTGTAATTTAAATGGGTTGTGATACGAGAATTTTAATCCATGTTAGCATATGTATAACTTATAAATGCATTATCTTGATGAGACACAAGTTAACTGATTTAGCACTATTTCACGATGTTCTTCAGGAACTGTCAAATCTCCCTTCGACGATGGAAAAGTTGTCTCATCAAAGGGACAATCCTTAAAACATATGGTAAAGTGCACACATAACCAAAACCAACTTAGATTTTCAATTTGCAGTGGTAATTCATTGCATTCATTATGTTTATGCAATAGGCACATAAACAACCTAAAAACATCTAAACGAGATTTGCAGTTGGAAACATGCTTCAACTGAATTAATACTGTGATTTTATAAAATGATACAGGCTTCAACTACTTTAATGGTTGTGTAATACAACTCAAAAAGAAAGTAAGGAGTTTCTCCAATAAACGCCTCTGGCTGTCAATATTGGGAGTAATGCAAAAACATTACAATTAACTAACAATCCAACATAAAGATAAAGAAATATAATCTTGATTTAAAAAAACTCATAACGAGAAATAAATTAAAATATATAATTGGAAAAAAAATTATCAAATAAGATCACAATAAAATATCCAAATTAAGCTAAAAAATACAAAAATAAAATAAAACATCAAATTAGTTGGGAGGACCCCGCCACTAATCATTGAATCATGTGATTTTCCGTTAGTATAAGTGAAGAAGTTTGAAACATCAAGGTGGGTTATATCCACTGAGTACAAGTGTGACACCCCGACCCAATTTTAATCATTTATTTAATTGTGAAATTACAATTTTGCCCTCGGAGTCATTTTTGATCCGTAAGGATTTTCGGGTTTAGAGTCGCACCGTTATAATCATTGAATCATAGAGCTCGTTGATACAAATTCGAAGACACATAGTATGCTCAAATCAGAGTTTTAACAAAGAAGTTATGGTCAACAGAAGTGTAGTGGCACAACAGTAAATATTTCATAGACAGATTTTTAAAAAACCAATCAGCTTCTCTCTCTCTCTCTCTCTCTCTCTCTCTCTCTCTCCCCTCCGTACGCATGCGACAGTCCGAAATTCAATCGACGATTCTGGCACCGTCCGGCCAAGAACAAAAGTTACTCCCCTAGTTATTCTGATCACGTAGGTATATGTATTGTCGGGTGTTTTGAGAAATTTTCGATCAACAGAACTTTCTCAAAACACCCACTCGCTGCCGGAGGGTGTGGCGGCGCGGGGGCCATGGTGTGGTGGCCCATTTTGTCCTAAAATGTCCCCATGTTTTCCCAGGCTTGACGGTACGCTCAGATTCGAATTTGATTATCGTTTTATGATCGAACGGATTTATGCATATTAGGCGATATCCTAGTTCGATATGTTCAAACCATTGGATTGGCTCCATTTCCAAATATGTTGATCTAGTTTCTTTTCTTTCTTTTTTGTTTTATGTTATTTTCTTTCTTGTTTTCTGTTTTGTGCATGGAATCAAATTGAATCAATCTATCATTAATCCTCATGGGATCGACCTCGCACTTACATATGCTATACTACCGAACGGCTTGTGCACTTGCAAGTATCACAAGTTGAGGATGCAGCTAATTCGACAACAACAGTGGTCATCCACATTCCATGGATTCATAACATGCCTTCATTTGTTTTGATTTATTGTTAGGCTTGTTTTTTGAGTAATATAGATAACTTTATCTTGATTACAATTTTTATCTATTTTACTGGAGAAACAACTTGATTTGACTTCAATTCCTTACTGTGCTTGAGTATGAATCATCCTCAGTTGAATTTATCACAACCTTGATGTTTCTTTAGTGGGGAAAACATGCACCAAAGTCTGGCAAAATAGTCGGTTCTGAATGTTTTGGATTCATAGTCTTGACTATTACCTGCTTTATTTTTATCAAACATATTCTCTTGAACCTCTTGTGAACATCTTAATAAAATGTTGAAAGAAAATAAATGAAACTAATTTGAATGAAACTAATGTCAAGTTGCATTTTATTTATTTATTCCTAAGCCTCCATACTCTCTAGACTGGGCATGGGTTGGTTGGGTCGATTTTGATATCAGTCCGTAACCCAACTCGATATATAACAATTTATGATTTCTTAGACTCAAGACCAGCTCATTATTAGGCCATCCCAACCGACAACTCTTTTATTATCAGTTTCGGCAATTTGGTTGGATTAACTCAAAATTAAGTTAACGTTCAAGTTTTGGTTCCAACCCGTAATAGCAATTTATAATTTTGTGAACCGAAGACTCGCTCATTACTAGGTCAATCCAACCCAACCCAACCCACTCCTATAATAATCTGGTTAAGCAGCTCAGTCAAGTTGACACGAAATTGCGCCTACCTAGCAAATTTCTATTCAAAATTCTTTTTAAAAAATTCTATGATTATCCAAACAAATGAAATTGTAATTTATGTCATTTCCTAAATTTTATAGGGAAATGGCCTCCAATACCACCCATTTGCTAATTTTAACTAAAAATACCACCCATTCCCAATTTTTTTACAACTAACACCTTTAAATATAAAATTATTGTCCACTTATTGTACCCATATCAGTTTTTCAGAAATTGGCTTCTCTCTCTCGCTCTCTCTCTTCGGCCGTCTCTCTCCCTGGTGTACCTCTCTCTCTTCGACGCAATGCTCTTTCTCTGTCAACAGTGGCTGTTCATCCAAGGTACTGTTCATAACCCTTTTCTTTGAAATTTGGGGTTTTTGTGAATTTGGTTTATGGTGTATGGATTTGTAAGAAATTGGTTTAGGGTTAAAGTGTTTAGAGGTTGCTCAGAAATTGGGTTTGGGTTTATGGGTTTCTATGAACTGGGTAATAACTCACACCCACTCTCACTTTGTAAGGAACTAGGTGGTACAGAAGTATTTTCCATAATTAGCACACTAAGTTTGTCGGGTTCAGATGTTTAATTAGTAAACATAACCAAAGAGAGAAGAAAAAAAAAAGTTGGAAAATAAATTGAAGGATAGATTTTGAAGGGCTAAGTCAGTTTGGTGCAATTGAAAATGTCATCATAGTTTTGCTAGCAAAATCTGGTTTTCATTCCCCCAAAAGCTAAGTTTTAAGCCTTCCTGGAAGAAGTGAAGCAGAGAAAGAAGGGGAGAAATAGATTCATCTATTGAGTGTTGTTTCTGCAACTTGGGTTTTGTTGATGGTTCTAATGGCAAAGCTAGTTTGCCATTCACATCTTCTTCTGCTCATCATAGTTTTCCTCTCTCTCCATCCTTCAAGCCAACTACAACAATACACTCAGTCACAAACCCTTCTGAAGATCCAGCAGCTTCTCAACTACCCATCAGCCTTAACCAGCTTCAGCCATAGAAGCAACATCAGAGACTTCTGCAAAATTGAACCAACTCCATCTTTGACTCTATCCTGTTATGAAGGCAACATAACCCAGCTGCACATTATTGGCAACAATGGGTTTCCTCCACTGCCTCGTGATTTCTCAGCAGACTATTTCTTTGCCACTCTTGTTGGCTTACCAAGCTTGAAAGTGCTTTCACTGGTTTCTCTTGGTTTATGGGGGCCAATGCCTGCAAGTATTGGGCATTTGTCTTCACTGGAGATTCTCAATGTAAGCACAAATTACTTAAGTGGTACAGTTCCTCTCCAACTTTCATATCTGAGGAACCTTCAGACTCTCATACTTGACCATAACAAGTTCACTGGTCAAGTTCCAGGTTGGCTGAGTTCACTTCCAGTCTTGGCTGTTCTCAGTCTGAAAAACAATATGCTTAATGGCTCTTTGCCATATTCTTTGGCATCTTTACAAACTCTCAGAGTTCTCTGCCTATCAAGTAACTTCTTGTCAGGGGAAGTGCCTGATCTCAGAAACTTGACAAACTTGCAAGTTCTTGATTTGGAAGACAACTATTTTGGGCCTCATTTTCCAAGTATGCTTTCCAAGTTGGTCACACTTGTGCTAAGAAAGAACAAGTTTCGCTTGGGAATCCAGACTGCATTAGGCTCCTGCTATCAGCTCCAGAAGCTGGACATTTCATTGAATGGATTTGTAGGGCCATTTTTGTCATCATGGTTGTCACTGCCTTCCATTAAATATCTTGACATTGCTGGAAATAAACTCACTGGACTTCTCTATAAGAACATGACTTGCAATTCTGAGCTTGCTTTTGTCAATTTATCCTCAAATCTTTTGTCAGGGGATTTGCCCACTTGTCTGAAAAGGGATTCTAACAGCAGGGTTGTTCTGTATTCTGGGAATTGTTTAGTAAATGAAGATCAGAAGCAGCACCCTTCTTACTTGTGCCACAATGAAGCTCTGGCTGTGCGAATACCACCTCCTAGTGAGGAAAAGCATAGGAGAACTTATGGTAAACACGTTGTTGCATCAAGTGCAGTGGGAGGTATTGTGGGTGCAATTGCAGTTGTTGGTTTAGCTTTCATGGCTGCTAAGAAGTTTTATAGTGAGCACACTACTAAAACTCCCCAAACAAGGTAATTTCAGATACAGTCTCAGCAGTGAACACAGCTAAGCTACTCTCTGATGCAAGTAAGTTTAAAGTTTCTAACTTTTTTTATTTTATTTTATTTTATTTTTTTTATAAATATTTTTATAGTTGTTCCTTTTGGTACCAACTTTTTGTTGCTTCTGTTTAATGTACGAGGATCAATGCTGATTTTGCGAAGAAAATAAATGAAAAAGGGAACTTGCTGTATAGATTAGCAACCATTTCCATGTGATCTTTTTATTTTATTTGAGTAGCATGAAGGTTATGATTTCCATAGAAGTCCAACAACTAGACTGATGTATGTTTCCAGAAAATTCCAAGAAGAACTACTAATTATAGAAAATAGTTTCCAAAAACTATATTGCTACCCCAAAAAGACATATTAGCTTATTTTGGAGTCTTTAGGTTCGAACTAAGATGGAGAGAATTATATTTTATTGTACCACCAATTCCTTATAGTTTTCCTTGGATATTCTGATATTCAGAAATATGGAGAATATGGTAAATCTTGTTCAGGTCCATGCTTTTCAGTTTCAAATGAAGCATTTTTCACATGCTAATTTAGCGTGTTACAATTCGTGAATCTTTCATTTTTGCTATAATGATAAACTCGACAATTCTGGCTTATACATCCAGGAAAGCAATTTTTCTTGCTCAAATTGACTGCTCAAAATTTTATTCTTATTAAAACCCCAGGCACTACTTCATTCAAATTGGCAGTAGGTAAATAAATTAGCATCACTATTCCTTTTATAATAAGTCATAACACTAGAATCCTTTCTTTGCAGAATATATATCAGACACAATGAAGCTGGGAGCTAGCCTTCCTGCTTATAGAACTTTTGCTTTGGAGGAGCTTCAGGAAGCCACCCATAACTTTGATGATTCAACATTACTAGGTGAAGGTTCACATGGACAGGTATTCATTCTTTATAGTTGCAAAACAATTCTAACTAATTCAGTACATCGTAATAGTAATACGATGTTCTCTCTTAATTTGCACCTGCTTTCACATTTTATGTTTCTTGCTTATATAATTCCATCCATTTGGATATGCAAAAGATCCTTTGTGGATTGAAGAACCTCAGATAAGAGACAATATATATTATGTAGATGTTGAATTTAAATACAATTTAGGACAAGATACATTTCAACAAGCTTTATCTAACTACTCGGGAATAAATAATATACAGGTAGGACTAAATTACGATGGCTCACCGATGCATGGTGGGTTCTCCTGTGTGTATAGGTTCTTGATTTTCATCTAATCTCCAGTTCTTGGTACACAATTGAAGAACTACATAGTGGAAGCAACTTAAATACACACACTGACATTTGTATGTGTGTAAGAATGTGTATATAGATTTAGTTATCTCGATTTAATTTAGAGTTCATACTCCTCAAGAGCATTATGTAAATAGATTTAGGAATTACTTTGTAGAACTTCTGATATGCTTAAAACGTGAGACTTCTCCATCTTAAACAAGCTTCTGTTGAGTAAAGATTCCCTTTAAAACTCCAAGGTGGCCTCACATTTAATGAAAAAAGAGTAGAAATTGAAAGAGAACAAAAGACTAATTTTCAAAAGAGGTTGCAGGAGCACATCTAGTCCTTTCAAGCAGCCATTAGTATATGTATTTTCAGATTAGGAAGAGAAGTATTTTCTGGAGATTTTAGCTAGAGAGCATGAAGAGAAAATGAGGAAGGCACTGTTCTATTGAATTCTTACAATCTGC